TTTTCATCCTGTTAGTCTCTGAGAGGTTTTGTAGTCTTGGTCTCTGATTGTTCCATCTGGTTCTAGCAGATCACTTCCCCTTCCTGCAGGGGCCTGTGACATAATTTTGACAGAGCATGAGACACGTTTGCACGTGTATGTGCTCTTCTGTGTGTGAAAGGAGGAAGCTGAAGAGTGGTGGTGCGTCAGTTCAACAGAGAGGCAGAGCTGACATATACAGGGCCTGCGGTATCTATAAATATATAATGTATATATACACAATATATGTATTTTGTGTATATCTGTGTACATGGCTGCCCTTGGGGCCAGGGCTGAGTGCTGGACAGCTGAAGGATCCAGTGGAAGGCCTGCAGCTCACAGCAGAGTCACATGGTCATGGGAAGGATGTGCTGGAAGCCGGGAGGATGTCCCGAGGTGATGGTGCTGACTGGACCTCCTCCAAAGAAACAGAATGGAGACTTCCTCCCTTTCCTGTCAGTCTGCTGAGTTTTGAGACAGCCTCCCTATATAGTTCTGGTTGGATTCAAACCTGTGGCAATCTTCTGCCTCAGCCTCAATGTGCTGGGATTACAGATGTGCCCTACCATGCCAGCTCCCTTCCCCTTTTTATTCCATCCAAGTTGCAAGCATGTTGGGCAGTGCCACCCACACCCTGGGTGGGTCTTCCCTCCTCAGTAACTTGGTCACTTGGCTGCCCAGATCCATGCTAACCTGGTCACCTGGGCGTCTCTCAGGCTGGCACAAGGCTTTGCTTGTGGAGCCGGGCTTGTTGCTTGATCTTATCGCTGATCATTTTTTGTGCTTGTTTTCTCATCTGATAAATGGAAAGACGAAGCAACAGAAAGCGCAGTTTACCTCTCAGACTTGTGAGTACTAAGTTAGTGTTCATGAAGTCAAGCTCTTTGAACAGTGTCTGGTGTAAATGTAGAAACATGTATTTATCTCTGAAATCATTTAATAATGAGCCAGGCATGGGAGTGCCTGTCATGCCAGCTGTTCAGGAGGCTGCCGCAGGAGGGCAGCTTGCACACCTGAATTCCAGGCCAGCCTGGGCCACCTAAAAGACCCTATCTCAAGAATAAAACAAGACAAGGCATTTTCTGTTCCTTCTTTTTTTTTTTTTTTTGCGGAGCCAGGGATTGAACTCAGGTCTTTGCGCTTGCCAGGGAAGCGCTTATTCCACTGAGCCATCTCCCCAGCCCCTTTCTGTTCCTTCTTAAAGCAGAAATGAAAATTATTTTGTTTTAATTTCTTTTTTATGGATTTAGTACAGGGTCTCACTACACAGATTGGACTTCCAGTGATTCTCCTGTTTTCAGCCTCCCAAATGCTGGAATTACAGGTGTGTGCCACCATGCCTGGTCTCAGTCACAGTCTCAGAATGCCCCATGGGTGGGGCCAGCATGGCAGGTTGGGGATTGAACCCTGTCTCCTGCATCTGCCTAAACAGGCACTTTAATCTGCTGAATTATCTGGGCAGCTCTGAAATTTATTTTAAAATTTTATTTATTTATTTTGAGACAACATCTTGCAGTGTAGTTCAGGATGACCTTGAACTCACTATGTAGCCCAGGATGATATTGAGTTTAAAATTTTCCTGCCAGGGCCGGGGATATAGTTCAGTGGAATAAATGCCTGCCTGGTATTTGCAAGGTCCTGAGTTTGATCCAATAACTAACTAAATAAATAAAATTCTCCTGCCTCAGCCTTCTAAATGTTAGGATTACAGGCTTGTGCCAGTCTACGTGGTTTACATATCATTTATTTTCTTTATTATTTTTATGTATTTTAGTACAGGGTCTCACTACACAGATAGGACTCACAGCGATCCTCCTGTTTTCAGCCACCCAAGCACCATGATTGCAGGCATGTGCCACCATGCACAGTCTCAATCTTGTCTCTGCATACCCTGGAGGCAGAACTGGCAGGCGGGCATGGCTTGTTCATTTATTTATTTTTGTCCTTTTGAGACAGGATCTCACTATGCAGTTCAGGCTGACTCAGTATGTAGCCCAGGCTGGCCTTGAACTCATGGCAATCCTGCCTCAGCCTCCCGAGTGCTGGCATGCACCACCACACCCAGCCATTGATTGATTGATTGATTGATTTCTATATTTAGGACAGTGTCTATAGGGTCACTATGAGTAGATCGGACTCCTAATGATCCTCCTGTTTTCAGCATCCCAAGTGCTGCATGCACCAGCATGTCCAGTCTCAATCACCATCTCAGTGCACCCCTGGGGTGGGGCCAGCTCGGCTTGTCAGGGAACGAACCCTGGCTGCTAGGCTCTGCCTAAGCAGGTGCTTTACTTCACTAAGCTATCTGGCTGGCCCTCACAGTTTATTTTCATTTTTTTAGAATTTATTTTATGTGTGTGTGTGTGTGTGTGTGTGTGTGTGTGTGTGTGTGGCCAGCTCAGCCCACCAGGGGGCGGGGCTGGCTGGCATGTGGTGCTGGGGGATCGAACCTCGGTCCCTGTGCTTTGCTAAGCTTGTTCTAAGTAGGTGCTTTAGACCACTGAGCCATCTCACCAGCCCCTCACAGTTTATTTTTGAGAGCTTCACCAAATTGCCTAGGCTGGTTTGGGATGTTTGCGCTCCTGTCCTCAGCTTCCCATTAGTGTTATATTGTGTCACCACACGTGATAGGACAACAGCAACAGCACCCGCCGTAGACTTTTTTTTGGTGTGTGTGTGTGTGATACTAGGAATCGAACTCAGGACCTTACGCTTGCCAGGCAAGCACTACGTTCCACTGAGCTATCTCCCCAGCCCCTA